AAAAAATAAAGTGTACATAGTAGAAAATGTACAACTACACGTAATTTAATATATATTTTCCCCATAAATATATTTCTACTGCGTACCCACAAAAACACAAAATTTTAAAAAAGAAAGTGTACATAGTAGAAAATGTACAACTACACGTAATTTAATATATATTTTAAAATTTTTATTTTTCAAATGATTGTACAGCGAGAACCTTTTTGTTTGACATACAGGTCTAATGAATTGTAATAGATGTATTGATTTGGGTAACCACTACCACAATTAGGATATAGACATTACGTCACCTCAAAAAACACCCCTGTGCTATTTTTTTGTAGTTATATCTTCCTTCACCTCTGACAATCACTGATCTGTTTTCTATCACTATAGTTGTCTTATTTTTTTTCAATAATTTCAGTTCTAATTTATTTTTAATTTTTGTGGCTAACATAATAGATGTGCATATTTATGGGCTACATATCAAATCTGATACAAGCATACAGTGTGTAGGCCAGGTATGGTGGCTCATGCCTATAATCCCAGTACTTTGGGAGGCCTAGGCAAGTGGATCTCTTGAGTCCAGGAGTTCAGTACCAGCCTGGGCAACACAACAAAATCTCGTCTACAAAAAGTACAAAAATTAGCTATGTGTGGTGGTGCACACCTGTAGTTCCAGCTACTCCAGAGGCTGAAGTGGGAGGATCACTTGGGCTCAGGAGGCGGAGGTTGCAGTGAGCCGGGATCACACTGCTGCACTCCAGCCTGGGCAACAGAGTGACACCCTATCTCAAAACAAGAAACAAAGGAAAAAAAGCATACAATGTGTAATGATCAAATCACAGTAATGGGGATATTTATCTCCACGGTAATTGGGATATTATTTCTTTGTATTAGGAATATTCCATTTTACTCTTCTAGTTATTTTGATATATACAATAAATTATTCTTAGCTATAGTCACCCTATTGTGCTACCAAGCTAACTAGCCAAACTAGTGCTACCAAACACTAAATCTTACTCCCTTTATCTAACTGTATTTTTATACCCATTATCCACTCCCTCTTTATCCTCTGCCTCCCTACTATTCTTCCCAACCTCTAGTAGCCATCATTCAACTCTCAAAATCATTTATTTTTTAGCTCCCATATATGAGAGAGAGCATGCAGTACTTGTGTTTCTGTGCCTGGCTTATTTCACTTAACATAGTATCTTCCAGTTCCATCCTTGTTGTTGCAAATGACAGAATTTCATTCTTTTTAATGGCTGAGTAGTATTCCATTGTGTGTATGTACCACATTTTATTTATTCATTCACCTCTTGATGGACACTTAGGTTGGTTTAGCTGTGTCTTTTTGACTATGTCATATAAATGGAATCATACAAAATATGCTTTTTTAGATTGGCTTCCTTCACACAGCTTAATACCTTTGTGAGTCACTGAAGTTGTTGCAAGTATTAATAATGTATTCCTTTTTATTACTGAGTAGTATATATTATATACATGAGCCACAATTTGTGTATCTATTAACTTGTTGAAGATAATTAATTTAATATTGTAAAATATAACAGTCAAATTATGTTTTAAATTTATGATTTGAAGATGGGAGGGCAATTCAAACTCGGGCTGCAGTTAAACTTAAAAACATTTTAACTTGTATGTTAGCTGCCCATTCTACTTTGTTTTATACAGGTTATCAGTGGGCATCTTGGCTGGGTTCGATGTATTGCTGTGGAACCTGGAAATCAGTGGTTTGTTACTGGGTCTGCTGACAGAACTATAAAGGTAATAATGAAGGAAGAAAAAATAAACATGACTTTGTGTTTGTCATGTAAGTTTAATCAGTTACTATTTCCTGTGGCAGGAATTGCTATTGCAGTTCCTCTGTTATTTTAGACCTGAATAAGGAGTAAAATTTATCATTTATACGAGTAAGTGTTCTAAATAAATATCTGTTTGAAAAGTGGTATTTAAACCACTTTTTCTTTACCTGCTGAATACCTACCACTAATTCCTTTATACTTACTTTGTTGTCTCCAACTGGTTACAAAATTAAGAGCATGCTCATTCATAGAAAATGTGGAAAATATAGAGAATTATGAAAGTACATAGACCTGTGTATAATCCTACCATTGTTAGATACTTGGATAAGTTTCATTTTAGTGTTTATTTCTGTAAGTATAAATGCCTTTACTTCTAAGCTCTTTTCCTGTGTATCTTTTAAAAATCATTCTTAGTATGTAATTTTGTATCTTGTTTTTTTCCCTTAACATTGTATCAAAGGCATATTCCTGTGAAAAATTTACCATCTTTTAAAGTGGCTGCATAATATTATATCATTTGGATAGTCTATAATCTGTTTTCCTATTGTTGGATGGTAGAGTTTTTAGTCTGATTTTCACCATTACAAGTAATGCTGTTAAGTTTTGTATATAAGACTTTTTCTGTGTTTTAAATTATTTTGTTATGGTAGAGTTCCATAAGTGGAATAGATGGGTCAAATATTTTTGAAGCCGATACCCAAAGTACAAATTACTTTCCAAATGGGTGAATCGATACTTGCAGTGTATGAGAGGATCCTTTTCAGCACATTGGTTGTACATTCCTTTGCAAATATCTAATATGGTAAGCAAAAATGGATACTTAATCTTTTTTTAAAAGTTTGTATAGGCTGGGCGCGGTGGCTCACAACTGTAATCCCAACACTTTGGGAGGTTAAGGTGGGCAGATCATGAGGTCAGGAGATCGAGACCAGCCTACCTAACACGGTGAAACCCTGTCTCCACTAAAAAATGCACAAAAATTAGCTGGGCATGGTGGTGGGCGCCTGTAATCACAGCTACTTCGGAGGCTGAGGCAGGAAAATGGCGTGAACTCAGGAGGTGGAGCTTGCAGTGAGCCGAGATCGCGCCACTGCACTCCAACCTGGGCGACAGAGCGAGACTCTGTCTCAAAAAATAAATAACTAAAAAGTTTGTATAAAATTTCTAATGAGTTTGAACTTTTTCATATCTGTATTTGCTGCTTTTAGGGTTTCTTTAAGTTGTTGCCATCCTCGGTTAATTTAATACCATACTTTTCATACTATTATTATCAAAGATTCCATTTATATAACAAGAAGGTTAACCTGTCATCTAATTGCAAATATTTTTCCAGTTTGAGCATGCCAGTTTTTTTCTTGCTTTTATTTGGAGGGGAGTCATTTTACAAAATTTTTTATTTTTACATATTCGTTATCTTTTTCCTCTTCTCTTTGAAAACTGAATTGTAATAATCAGGATTCTAAAATTTTGCTTTGCGGTAACCAGGGAAAGAAAAAAAAAAACTCTTTGATTGCAGATCTGGGACTTGGCTAGTGGCAAATTAAAACTGTCATTGACTGGGCATATTAGTACTGTGCGGGGCGTGATAGTAAGCACGAGGAGCCCATACCTGTTCTCTTGTGGAGAAGACAAACAAGTAAAATGCTGGGATCTTGAATACAATAAGGTAAGGTTGGAATCAAGGATTTAAAACATTATGAACCACTGTTTATCTTTCTAATTCTACAAGTGTTAACTGTCCTGCTTTGTCTTTAGGTTATAAGGCATTATCATGGACATTTAAGTGCAGTGTATGGTTTGGATTTGCACCCAACAATCGATGTGTTGGTAACCTGTAGTCGAGATTCAACTGCACGGGTAAACGGGATAGAGTTGTGTTTTTATC